TGCTCCCACCCACACGATCACGATACAGTCACCGTCTGTAAACCGTGAGAAAGTGTACTTGCCGCGGAAATCCGCGTCCACAGTGTTTTCCTTGAAGCGGATTCCAAAAGATTGGGCTACAATGGTATCGGATTTCTGAGCAATCTGGACATTCATCGAACGATGTATCGTTAGAATCTATGCACAGTACAGTAGCAGTCTAGCGAGTTTTAAACTCACCTGGTGATGATAACAATAATTCTTGATCTGATCGGTACTAAGCACTTTCCAGAGTGCGCTAGCTGTAGCTTGCATACCAAATGGTAATGTTGCGTTGGATTGCACTACAAAAACCTCTTTGTCGCCATTTTTCTCGATAAAAGTATCGAGAAAGCAGGCAGTGGGATCTCGAAAAGGTGGGCCTTGTAAAACTCTCTTCACTTCCAGAAGCGTATTCTCCGACTGCTGTAACTGTTGCTTAAAGACATCAGCATGTCCCCATAAGAGACCATGGCGCTTTTCCTGAACAAGTGCCTACACCCGAGCAATGTGTTAGGGATGCCAGTGTGTAAGATGCTTCTTTAGACGTACCTTTGCGTAGATTTGTCGATCCAAGAGCTGAATCAACTGCTTTCCAAGCTTATACTCTGTTTCGAGCTGTGCACGGAGCTCCATGTTTCGAGCAAGGACTCGCCCTCGCTCTCTCGACTGTCTCTCAGCTATTGCTTGCCACATCGAGGGTTTCTGCCGAAGTCGTGGTGCGATCGCGCAGTACTTGCGGCTCGTCGTCACCTTTTCGGTCTGCGTTATTAATACTCTAGGCCTGAAAGAAATCGCGCCAGCGGGCCGGTTTGCCTGAATTGTATGCAGTTGGGCCAGTTCATCCTCCAGTTTCTTGGACTCACGTCGCAGATAATCCAGCTCTTGCTTCACCCGGCGGATGCGCTTCTTCTTGGGTTGATGGGTCTCAACCGACATGGGCTCTTCAGTGAACGCCGATACGTTGAACGGGCTTTCAGTAG